CAGCAGCACCAGGAGCCCTCCAGACTGCCTGCCTGCCAAGGCCCCCTGCGGGCAGGAACCATTTCGGTTACTTCTGCTGTCGGAGGAAGCCGTGAGTGTTGTGATGACCTTGGATGTCAATGCTTGGGGTTGCTTTTCTGTTGCCACACAAAAGAAAAAGAATGTTATGTGGTGCTTCTTTGACAGCTCTTTGATTTCCAAAAGCTTCTCATAAGCTTCTGCAATAAACACCCAGCGGTGTTTTAGATATTTAATCTTTTCTGCGACAGCTGTTAAATAACTTGATCTGTTGCTCCTGCAGACCTTTTTTAAAGGACCAGAAGAATTGCCTGAATCTACCCTTAGAACCAGCTTCTAAACCAGAGCATGTAAGTAGAAATCTTTTGAGTCTAGTTTTGTATTTCATGCTTGAAGCGAGTCACCAAATCAGGGTTGTGAATTCCTGACCCCAAATGGGGTGCAGCCAACAGACGGTGAAATAGCTGGCGATAAGTCAACTAATTATTTTTCAGAAGAACTCGGTGTGGGAGACTCATCCTCTGCCCATGCACCGGTGGGTGTTGTGTCCCTGTTCTGTTGACAACTGATTTGTCACCACGGGCCTTTACGTGGACATCCCCTGGGCTGGCAGGGCTGGGGCAGGAGCGAGCTGTCAGGGTTTGACCAAGCTGAGCTCTCCTTGGGGCTAAGATTCGCTTTGTCTCTCCAGGTTGACCGGAACAAGAAGGATGTTCTCAGAAACGTGGTGAAGGGTGCTCAGAGGGATGGCACCAAAACCACACAGCGCACTGGCCACGCTGCTCAGCATCATTCCAGTACATCCCAGAGAGCAGCGGCGGTGCGCCCAGAGCAGCCGAAGCGGAGTGCAAAGCTCCCTGTGGGGCTTGTGCCCAGCGTAAGCCGCTCTGTGCAGCCCAGAGGGAGGCTCCCGACTTCAGCCTCTGGTCACCTAAATCCAGAAAGGACCAAGAAGCCTGCGCAGGAGACTGTCACCGCTGCAGCACCTCAGACTGGAAGAGACCACCCCCCTCCTGGGGCACCTTGCTCCCTAAATGAGGACCTGCAGGACAGGCTGGTCTGCAACAAAGAAAATGTCCGAACACAAGCCTCTACACACCCGGTGCTGAACGGGGGTTTTCAGTCCGGTGGCAGCAGTCTCGGGAACAAGAGAGTCTTGGCTCACGGGCAAAGCTCGGTCACAATGTCAAGAACCGTCACAGGCCCAAAGGACAGAATGAAGAGCTGCCAGACTAAAGAAGAGCCGATTCAGGATAAATTCAGGAAAACCCTGCCAGGCTCAAAGAGCGTGTCTCAAAAACCAAGTATCAAAACTCAGCCGTTGCAGCCCCCTCGGCCACTTACTGCTTCTACTAATTTGCTACATAAAAAGCCAGGGGCAAACCAGGAAAACACCAACACAGCACGGCAACCCACAGGAAAGCCACTCGGCATGCTGCCAGCGGGAAGGCTTCAGCACCACAGTAGACCCCCTCAAATGAAAAGATCTCCCACAAAGGCCCTGGCCTTCAGCAGGCCCCAGGGGACCACAAACCTGAAATCCAGCCTGAAACCGGGTGGTACCGTGCAATGTCAAAGGCCCACGGCCCCAAGGCAGGCGGGTGGGAAGGACGTGAAGGTGGTGCCTCCCGGACACGCGGCAGCGTCCCGAGTGACGCTGCCCCAAAACCAGCCTCGCAGCGCATACAGCTCCAAAACTCAAGCACTTGAGAGTGATTTCAGGAGTAGGAGAGAGAGGCTTAAACCAGAGCTGCCAAAGGCAAGTGTGCTACAGGCCAGGCGTGTTCCCAAGACCCCGTCGGCCGCGGATCGTAAGTAAGTAGCAGTTTTGTCCGACTGTCCTCGCCTCCAGGGGACAGTGGAGTTTAAAGTGTTTAACTGGGTGAACCAGCACCAACCTGCTGAAAACAGGGTCCAAAGTCCCCTTATCAGTGAATGGCTGTTTGGAGGCTGATGCCCCAGAAAAGAGAAGGGTGAGGGGTGCGATTTGGTGGTACCCTGGGTTCCTCTCTCACCCTGGGCTCAGAAAGTGGGAGGAGAGCGTGCAGCTGCTCTCCTGTTTCACTTTCAAGGCACGCTTAAACTTGTGAGGGTTTTCTGTTCCCAGCCTGGAGCTGGGACGCATTTTTAGGACAGATGTTCAGGTTCTCCCTGAGAAGCTGCATTTGCCTAGAGGGAGATTCCGAGGGAAAACAGCAGCCTGGCAAGTGCTGGCGGTCTGCTGGGGTGGTAACAGTGATCCCTTGGTCCTTTGGCAGGAAGCAGCTGGAGGAGTGGTTGGCATCCAAAGGCAAGACATACAAGCGGCCGCCTATGATGCTGCTTCAGAAAAACCCGGGGAAGCTGTCCTGCAGAAATGTCAAGGAGAAAGAGAAGCAAGAGAAACCAGAGCAGCGAGCCCTGGAGAAGATCAACAACATATTAACTGAGTGCCTGAAGCTCGCTGAGGAGGTGGGAATGGGAAAGGAGCTGCTTGAACAGACTCGTCTTCTCCTGGAGCATCCCAGGAGACGAGAGCCACATCCCCGCAGCAGTACTGAGGGCGTTGGAGCAAGCGCTCTCACTCCCTTGGCTGCAGTGGCCAGAGGGGTAACATCACGTGTAGGAAAAGGAAAAGTCCTCATGGAGGCACAGATGGGCCAAAGGCATCAGCGGGATGCGCTGGTGGGGAAACCCCCCTCATGGGGCTCGCGTGTGTCGCTGCTGGTGCCT